AATGAATTGGTGTTTTGACAAGTTTCCGAGAATCCATTCTGTTAACGTTCCGAAAAATATAGTTCGTCGGAATATTTTGAGAAGTTTCCGACAAAGTCCATTGTTTCTCGGTAGTTCCTCGGAACGGCAAAGCAAATTCACCGATGACTCATGTTCTCGGAAACAATCCTCGGAGTTGACACTCTTTTCTTGTAGTGATTATATATCCTTATATATGTTTTTTTTCCACAAAAATATCCATGAGTGGTGTGCAATGCGTTTGGATTAATATTAATAATGGGTATTTTATAACTATGTTTTTATGATAATAATAGATGTTTTTAATAACAGATGATCATATTATTATAATTATTTTCCCACTAATTGTTAAGAATACATCATACTTTTGATGTTATAGAGAATTTTAATCTCTGGAGCTTTTTCATTTTCTTGTATTGTGCTAGTCTCTATCCACGCGGCGTTTTAGTCCGAACCGAATGCGTCGTTGCATGTACAACTGTGAGTAATGGGCACACAGCGACGACAAATAGTTAGAGAAACTGATACTGGTGTGTTTACGTGGCAGTAACATGCTCTCTCTCTCGACAAGTCAGCTACGAGAAAGTTTTATCCAAGATTCCATTGACTTTAGTACTAGTTAACAACAATTTATAAAAGAGACATTGAAGACCTACAAAGTTATGGTTGTAATGTAATTATTTAGTTTTTATTCACTTACATACTTTGAATATCTTAAGGTTGAATATGACTTGTGATCTATCTTATTGGTTTTGCTACTCCTTTTCTTGTGCATTAAGTAACACTCGAAATTGTTTTCGTTTTATTTTAGAGTTGGAAGATCTATCTTCTTGGGTTCTAAGTAACACTTGAAAATGGTTTGGCTTTTATTTTAGAGTTGGAAGATTCTTTTGGTGTCCAAATTTGAGAACCAACGTTTTAAGCTGTTTCGGAGTAATAAGAAGCTTACTGAATTGTCTTCACCTCACAAATGTGCGAAAGTTCTGTTTTAAATTGTGTAAATCTGAATAGATATGAGTTTTCTGAAGTTTTGAATTAATCCATTATAGTTTTTGTGAACATATTTCCCTAAGTCTTGTGTTTCATAGAAACATTATCTTATGTCTTGTCTACACGTACTTCCTCAAAGTTTTCATGCACCAAATTCACAAGTAAAAAGACATGTTTAGAAATTGGTTTCCTTCTTTTCCAAAAATTTTTGTTTTATATTTTTTAAAACTTTTTACATAACTTAAGGTGTAAGTACAACAAATCAAAAGATATTGTCAATAGATACTACCTACGTTTCATTACACTTTAATATCTTCTTGAACCGCATGCACCAGGAAGAAGCTTACTTTCTAGATACTTGTAAAAATGCGTTCGTCTTTTCTAGCAATACAAACTGAAGCAAACCGAATTTCATTATCCGTCGTCTGCTACTTTTGACCGTTAGTAAGGCATGAATGAGAAGTGATTGTTTCTTGGTTAGGTTTATTACACTCACTCTTGTCTGTGTCTGTGTTAGATGTAAAGACTTCAAGAGGAAAACCATGTATGTCATAAAACAGAGGAACCGTCATTAGCTTAATGACTCCAAAGAAAACGTAGTACATAATGGCTGGTTTTTCTAGTTCAGGTGATGGAAATAGTAAGCAAATAGAGCAGAAGGAAACCACAATACCTGAGAAGTTAGGTCTGCACTGACATACATATATGGTGTGCTTTCAACTCCTTCAGCCCCTTTGAGTAAGTTTTGAAGATGTGCTATTAAGTCAAAACAACCTCTCATGTCTAAGTATGATCAAACCAGAGACACCTTGAACATGAATCGGAGCTAAGCATAAAGTTGCAGGAATCATTAATGTAAAAAAAAAACATCGGTGATGAGATATCTTAAGTTAGATATTATGAGTAAATTTCGCGCATTCTAAACCCATAAAGGGTGTGATTTATCAAATTCGGGTTTATTATGGGTTTTCAACTTAAAACCAATTGGTGATTAGTGGATGGGCCATAACCCTTTATATAGTAGTAGATTAATTCTTATATTTCTGATGTGGGATGTTTCTCATCAATACCTTCCCTCACGCTCAGACATCTCTAGGTCTGAAGCGTGGACAATGTGAGAATCTCTAGGTCTGAAGCGTGGACAATGTGAGAATAACATCCACGGAGGACCCAACATCAGTATAGTAGTAACTGTAGTAAATTAGGCCAAAAGATCTTATCGCTCTGATACCATATCAAATTCGGGTTTATTATGGGTTTCCAACTTAAAACCAATTGGTGATTAGTGGATGGGCCCTAACCCTTTATATAGTAGTAGATTAATTCTTATATTTCCGATGTGGGATGTTTCTCATCAATATGATTATCTGTGACACAGACTTGAAAACAGAGTACGAAAGACAAAAGCATCTGACTTTAAAATACAAAGAGAACACATGCGCACAATGCGCAATTTGCAATAACATCAAATAGTTGTCTTCATGGATCGAATTTTCTATTCAAATCAATTTAGCATGAAGTCATACACATTACAAAAAAACACGCGAAATCCGACGGCGTCGAAATTTCGTCAGAATAAGGCAATTCCGACAAAATTCTGATGAAATGTGTCGTCGGAAATAACTCATCGGAAAAAATAAGTGAATGGCAAGAGAGGAAAGTTTTTATGTTTTAGAGAGATGGTAGAATAAGAAAGAGTAAGCCCCGACCACCTTGCAGCTGCTTTTCCTGGTAATGTACCACATGATATACTTCTAAGGAAAGCAAGGTTAAGTACGTCTACAAGTTCTTATGGGAGCTAAGGCCACATGCCTCTATAAGTTTTCAAAGCGACGTGTCTCTACAATGTTCCAGGAACCAGAAACTCATTGATCATTATTGTCATTCAAGTCCAAGTCTGATTCATGGGACTGATTGCAAGCAAATAAGACAAATCATGTCATGGTATGGAGTTGATCATGACTTAAACCGCAGTATTGATCCGTGCTTGAGAACTCGGTCCAAAGTTGGTTATGCAATTGCAGTTTGGTGACCTATATGGCCAGTGGTCATCAAAACCACCATACCATGATCCATGGGTACAAAGACCTTTTGATAAAAATGAGTTTAAACATAATCATGAATCTCAACATCATAAATGCATCACCAATACAGATTATAACCCTATCGCCGAAATACAAAAGAACAAACGCGAAAAATAAATTGTTTTATTCAGTCTTCCAAACTATACATCAAGAATCATATCTCACCACTCTCTTTACCTCTAAAGTCTAGTGTCTCTTACACCAAACAAAGAACAAGAACATCACAACTGGTTTTCAAAAAAAACTCACATGATTCACAATCCAAAGAGCCCCAACCGAAACATAAGCCAATAAGCAGCTTCAAAAATCCAAATAAAAATTAATATAAAAAAACATTTTTCAACTTCCTAATCAGTATCAGAAAGTAAATAAGCCGGCAAAGAACGTGATCCAGAAACCGATTCTCCATTATTCGCACTCAAATTCTGCAACTTGGGTTTCAACTCCTTATTACAAAACTCATCATACTCCACTTTATCACCACCTTTCTTCTTCATCTCAACAACAACCAAAGCTGGAGTCAACTCAAATATCTCAGCAGCAATAGTCAACGGACCATTCACACTCCCTTCTCTCGAACCTTCAAGACTCATTTTACAATCCTTCTTCCGCACGGTAAAGCTCACAATCTTCGCAATCTCCTCCAGCTTCGATATAATCTGATTAACCGGAGCTCCGGATACAAACCTGGACCCTTCACCATCATCATCAAACAAACCGGATAAATCAAAACCGGGTGAAAACGAAATGAGATCAAACGCATTCAAACTCGCCGGTCTAGGCATCGACGCCATTGCTCTTCTCCTACCATCAAAACCATCGAACTCCGATTCAGACACCGTAGAAGACCGTTCAGACACCGACTCAACCGACTCTATATCATCGTCAGCATTAGAGAGCTTATGATCATCCTCAACGTAGAATTTAATATGTTTAAACCCTTTCTTGAACCAACTAGTCTCCATAATATCCGGCATTGTAAACCGTCTCTCCGGTT